TTTCGTCGAGCGCGCTTTAGTCTACCGTGGTTTTGTGGTGGAACCGCCAGAAGATTGCAAAAGGTGAACACATGATCCTGGGGCAACTGTCATAAATATGAATTAGTTGCCATGCATCTGAATGTTGATCATGTGGCTATGGAGATGCTGCAGTGGTCATAAGCATAAAAATGGTTAGACATCACTTTTTTTGGTGCCACTGTAACTTTGAACAGTCATTAAATTAATGTTGTAAGTTAAGAGCTACCTATGCCAATATAGTCAAACATATAAATCATTTGTTTTCTCAATGCATATAAAAGTTATGTTTACTTTATGCTCTACTGTAGTCTATTAAATTTGCAATGGCTTTATGTCTAAACAATATAGACTCCTCTATTTAAAGCATTTTATTGTTAAAAAGGTAATCATCATCTGAGCCAGAATAGAATAGGAATAGAATAGAATTCTTTCTACTCTTTTTGCTGATGGAAGGCCTTGTAATGCAATATTAATTTATGTGAAGTGCAACAAACCAAAGTTCAAAAAACAAAGTATGCCTGTACACTTGTCTATATCGTTTCTAATCCCATTAGCTTTTTTTCTCCCAATTACACTATCTGGAAAAAAGTGAAGTCGTATATATACTCCGGGGGGGGGGGATATATGCCTTCGCAGAGGTTGTAGAACTACCATTCCCAGCATTCTTTACCATGTGTCCAGCTGGCTGTGGCTCTTAGTATTTGTAGTATACAGCATCAGGGATATCGTATCCCTTCGTATTCCCGAAGGGGAGCGAGGCTTAGAGAAGAAAGAGATACATCAACCACAAGAGGGCCCTGCTTTGAGGCCGACCGCGGGAAAAGAAGGACTTCTCTCTTTTTTCTCTTTCCTTCTTTTCTCCAGCCAGGATGTGGAACTGAGCTTCCTGCATCTTGCAGCTGATTTGCCTAAGTCCCCTCTCTTTTATCCTAACTCCCCGCAAGGGAGATGGGTGGGGGGGCTTTCTAACCGTCCATCACCATTCCCGTGCAGGCGCCAGACGCTGTAGTCTGTGCCTGACTGCAGGTAAACCTTGTGAAACAACGTAAGGGGTGAGAGGGAAGCATACAAGAATCGGGGCTCTTCGGCCCCTAGCCGGACTGCCTCCCCTTCGCAGCGTTAGATCCGATGCACATGGAGGAAACAATGGAGGCTATGCGGGATATAGATAGACTTTGGCCTGGGATTGATGTCCCGTTTTCTTGCCTGGACGTTCTGATCTGCACGCAGATCTTGGGCTGGCGATGCCCAGAGGAAGGGACAATACTGTAGTGCCACATGAGGATGGGTTACTTTGATGGAGGAAGGGGATGAGGAGGGTCCAGCGTCAATCGCCTTTTGCAATCCGTTCCCTTGAGCTCATCTTCAAAGATATGTGTGTGTGTAAGAGAGAATAAATATATTTAAATATATTAAATATAATATAATAGATAATATAATAAATTATATTTAATTAGAATTTAATCTAATATATAATTTAGATCTTCTTGTGCCAAAACATTGTGTTCTACCCAGGATTATCTTAAGTAAAGATGGGCAGCTATACAAATCTTTTAAATCAATAACTTCAGAGTTCTTGGTGCCACCTGTGATACGCCTATTCATTAGTATACATATATTACCCCATATTGTGGAATAGTTTGTTTCCATGGGATGTGTAATAGTTCTGGAAGCTTTGCTTTTGGGAGATGTTTAATATAGGTCCTTAAAACTTCGCTTTGGGGAGTTGTTTAGTATAGGTCCTTAAAGTAAACCCTGTATATTTGAAAAAGCAAATTTTAATCTATGAGAGCTTTATCAGATAATTGCCTTGACTACAACAGACTAATTCAGTTGTTCCACTGGAATTTTCACAGCATGCAGTCTCTTTATTTTTTTTAAATAAATGCCTACAGTATTGTTTTTCTCTGACAAAAAATTAAAATTTAGCCGTTTAGATGTGATAAATGATACAAATATCATTAGACATAAATAATTTATTTCTAAAGATAATTTTTAGAACAGAGGATTTAAGGACTGCCCCAGATCTGGGATATTTATAATTTATAAGTTTGCATTAAAATGTATTTTTGAAAGCATTTATTCTAAAAGTATACATATTTTGCTGCTATATTCATGTTTAGGGCAGTAAACTTATTTTCTATAGTTTATATTCAACCTTATAATATTGCTCCTTTTTTCTTTTCTAAGAACAGGGTCCACAGTTCTCAGAGGACAGAAAAAAAATCTTCCCAAGTTACTGTCCCCAAAATGTATTCAGATCACAACTCCAATTAATCCACTGACTAAGAACCTGGGTTTGTATATTCCAGTATATATGAAGTTCACCAGAATCAAGATGGCTGTTTTAAGCCTAATACGATTGGGAGGAAATCCTTATTTATGAAACATGTGAAAACAGCATCAGTAGAATATATGCTATGTGGGCCTGCATATCTAGAGCGTGGGTGTGCATCTGTTCGCTCTCACATAGTTCATCCTTTCAATTTAAAAGGGGCATAGAACGACCTTATGGGAGAATATAATCTTCAATTTTATGCAAAACCCTCAAGCAGTATTTTCTCTTAGTGTCCTGCTTTTTGCTTTCTATGCTTCCCATGTAAGTCTGCCTGTCTGTCTCTATCCATCTGTCCATCCACCCATCCATCCATCTTCTATTTATATGTGGCCAATCTCGTTCTGAAAAGCTATTCTTGATCTAGACTTCTAGTAGTAATCTAAATTACTATTATATATCTGATTGCCAAGATCACTGAAGTGACACTCAAGGATTTCTGTGACAAACAGATTCTTCAATTACTTTTTATTTGATTTAAGCACTCTCTGCAGCTTCTTGTGAGAGACAAAGGAAAAAAATCTTCCAGAACTTTAGAAAGGAAATTCTTCTGTGGACCAACATGCAGGAGAGCTATGAAACTGTGATCTCATTGGGTAAGGGATCCGATTTCTTCAAATTTCAATGCTACACTAGAACTTGACCCTCAGCTGCGTGTTCTTATAACAAATTGGGAAAGTATTAATATCATTTCAGTTATAAGTAAAATGGAAGCCAAATAAGACCTACTCATGGAAGGTTTCAGAGTAAGTAGTTAAAGCTTGAAAAGTTCATAAGTAGTTAAAGCTTGAAAATGAGCATTGACTTGTCTGTGGAGCCACATAGCAATCTGACTAATGGGTGCTATGCCTTGTAAGAACAATTTAAAAGATTTTAAAGACAGGCAAGTAAAAAAATTGTGTGATGGTACCAAATCGTGGCATGTGACTGAGTATTTTGGTGCAATCGCATATTCTTTAAATTCTAGCATTTCTCAATGTGATTGAGGCAGGATTGTACTAAGACAGAAGAATTATTCTTCTTGAACAATCAAACTTATAGGCTACTAAAATAAAATAAAGCACTTGAATTGAGAGTTCAAAATGTGCTGCTTGTAAGGAATCACCTTCTGCATAAGAAAGAATCCTACGTGTGTCATCTTGTGTGGTTAACACAGACCAGTATCCTTGTGGGTTACTCCTTATGGATATGGTACACAAGGTGCATAGATGCCTTGAGGTTGCCTTTGAGTATTTGGACTAGAGCATCCTTCCTGGTTATCCACTGGCTGGCAACTAACAGGAATTGTAGCCCCAGTGCTTATAGAAGGAACCAGACTGTTCACCTCTGTCTTTGAAGATATTCCCCAGATTTCCCAACAGCTGCTTATTACATGGGGGAGGATGATTAATGAAGGGCAAAAAAGATAATAGGTACAAAGCACAGAGTTGCATTTCCAGCACTAACTTTCAGAGAATCTAAAAGCTTATCAATTAAATGCTAATTGTTCTTACTGAGAAAATCTACATAAACTGCCAGTGTCCTTCAGATGTTCTCAGAATACAATATTAAGCCAGCTCAGTAAATGTGTTTTCTTCTGCATTTTTTTTTTTAGCAGAAGAACTTGCCATAAGCTGGCCTCGGATAACTGCCTTTACAGAGATTCGAGGACGCCAAGGTTTGGCCCCTGGTAAGACCTTTAAGAAAAGCCACGGGTGATTTTTGCTGAGTGGATCCTAAAGAGTTTTCCATCTCCAAATTGTGAGGATTGTGACCACAAGTCCATATAAAACAATCAAAAGCCTTGCATGGAATCCTTCCAGAAGTTACTGCAACATTATATATGTTAATGTGGTAGAGAGGGAAGTAATTAAATAATCATTAAGAGCCATGGTGACATAGTGGTTAGAATGTAGCATTGCGGACTAACTCTGCCCACAGCCTGAAGTTCGATCCTGACCAATTCAAAGTTGGCTTAGTTTTCCATCCTTCCAAAATCAGTAAAATGAGGACCCAGATTGTTGAGGGCAATATGCTGACATTTGTAAACCATTCATAAAGTGCTATAAAGCAATATGTAGCAGTATATATGTCTAAGTACTATTAATATAAATAGGTTCATGACTGAAATAAATATTTGCATTAATTTTATATTACATGTAAAATTCCTTTTAAAAATGCTCCAGGGTGTTGATATATGGATTCCATCAATGAAAGGTTAAGGATAGATTATAGATAGTCACTGATATTCTCCATTTGTAAAGGATTGTGATCTGGATCATTGGCTACACTAGTAAATCTAATGGGAGTGGCAGTCAATTAGAAGTACTGTAATCAAATTGAGAACAAAAAGAACTTTGCTCAACAATAGGTTATCCAAACTGAGAAGATAGCATATTTTGAGCTTTAGGACAATCAGTCACAAAAGGTTTGGGTAAATAGAACTTCATGTTTCCACGAACCAAGATGATTCTGATCTCTTATACGACTTTTCCAGCACTTTACAGATTTTTTTTTTTAAGTAACATCCTTGCTGGAGTGGCTAATGTCAAATCAGGTAACTGATCTGAATCTTGCTCTACTTAATAAAGATATATTCTACAATATCAACTTTTTATCCTTATTTTCTGGAAGATTAGATCAAAGTAACACACCCATCTCTTTTCCCCCCTCCTTTCTGCTTGTTTGTTTTTATGTTTTCTGTTGTATTCCCTTTGCTGCAGGATTTCTGTAGAAATATTGTATTGTTTTTCCTTTCTCTTCATAGGCTTAGAAATAGAACCTGAGCAAGGGCAGCTGGCTCCTTTACAGGGCGAGGCAGAAGCAACTACAGATGGGTCAAGTGGGGAAGGGATCCTTCCAGACATTCGTAGGCAACTTGGGGTAATTCTGCAAACTATAGGGAAGGCTCAAGTGGAGAAGATGCTCAAGGAGTTGGTGAAGGAGCAGGAGCAGGAGCAGCAGAGAAGAGTCAGGCGGCGGAAAAGAATGAGCAGGAGCCCTCGACATGGAGGTAGGTATTTTGTTGGAGCATGCAAGACTTTAAGTGTGGCTTTAAAGAGAGAGAAAAAATCCCCAGCAAATTGGATCTGATTTTCCCTCATTTAAATTGGCAATATTAGTGAAATCACAGCCATGCTTTTTGCAGCCCTTTGAGAACATATGTATATCTATCCAACTCATTAATCTAACTCTTGGATAAAAATATTGCCTATTCTGTCTTAAGTATTAAAAGTTTAAAAACAATATTACATTTTACATTCTAAAATCACTGTTGTTTATGTCATTTACATTTTTGTTTTCTCTGAGAAGATCTCCTCTAATTGAATCTCTACAGCAGCAAAAATGACATTGATTGAGGGAGCACAAGGAGAGAGAGATGCCCCTGCCTACTCCTGTATCCGCACTCTTAAGATGTATAGTCAAGCTCACATAGACTGGGGCAATGATAGTGTGTGGGGTTTGGGGGTTTTCTTTTTTGTTTTTTTGGCATTTGGCCTCTGAACACAACCAGATTGAAATTGAAATGAAACATTCAAGATGTGAGCAAAGTGAAAACTTTCAGCTTTAATTCAAGGAGTTTGACAAAATTGTGGCATTAACTACTGAGAATGATTAAGTGAGTTGGACCTCATTTTACAGCTTTTTTTGCTGTGGTTTTTAAGTGAATCACTGCAGTTGTTAAGTGAATGACATGGTCATTAAGTGAACCCATCTTTTCCCATTGACTTTGCTTGTTGAAAGCCAACTGGGAAGGTTGCACATGTGACCACATGACTTCAGGATGTGTTGGTTGCAGAGTCTTCCCAAGATGGCATCCTGACTCAGCAGGACACTTTTTCCCTGCGTACAGATGGCTGGTTTTGCTGCCAAAGCTGGCTCTTTTGGCAGCACACTTCACAGATTTGGTAAACGAACTCTGAGAAAGATTTGGATTTTAAAGGCTCAGAGTTGGTGGAATTGACCAGTTATGAACTCAACTTTTTCAAGAAGTTTGAGGAAGATTGGGAAATGGATTTATCATACCCAATTGGAAAACAAATATTAAGAGACATTATGTAATTTACAGGAGACCTTTTTTTACAACAAATGCTGTGGTGATATACACAGCAGGAACTTATGATTTTGGGGAATAAAATCCAATTGTTAAGAAAGATCCCAATTAATAGCTTAAGGAAAAGCCTCATTCTTAAGAATCAATCCAGGATATTGGATCTTGGATGGACCAGAGACAATGGCCCTGGTTACTTATGGTAGATCAGAAGCTGTTGTGGACTTTCTGCATGTGAAATACAATAAATAGACTGTTAACAGAGAGTTTTGAAGTTTAATTTAGTCGTTGGTTTTACCCAGGGGTCCTCAAGCTTTTTAAACAGGGCCAATTCATAGTCCCTCAGACTGTTGGGGGGGCCAGGCCTGCTGGATGAGCATGGCTAAGAGATCATGTGACTGGGTGGGCATGGCTAAGTGGTCATGTGACTGAAGTTATCAGAATTAAATGGCAGGGGGGATTTATGTAAGTCTGTTTTTTATTTTATTTTATGCACTCTTTTTTGTGTACTCTTTATTTTATTTACTTTTTGGGAGTTTGTATTTTAATGTTTTGAATAAAAATAATTCATTGCAAAAAGAAACATATATGCCAGATGTGAAGCACACAAATTTTGATCATGGGCCCATGGAGATGAGTGATAGTCATAACTTTGAGGATTGGTCATAAGTATATTTTTCAGTGCCATTGTAACTTCGAACAGGCACGAATATGTATGGTTATAAGTCAGGAACTACCTATAGTTATGACATTAATGATTTTTTTAGTGATTTTGTTTTTCAGTGAGTTATATGTTGTATAAGTTATTTTATTTTGTTTTTGTAAACCACTTAGATTTTTTTAAATAATAAAAGCACGTTATAAATAAGTGAATCAATAAATTCCTATGGAATAGGCTGATCTGATAAATTCCTGTGAAATAGGCTGATCTGAGAGAAACAGCTAATATAAAATCAGTCAGTTAACTGTATGGTCAAGCAGTGATAGAACCTCCAAGTCCATATCTAACACTTTAAAGTATTTATTCATATTTATTTATTTGTTCATTTATTTGTTTGTTTATTATTTAATTTAGGCAGCTTACAACAATAAAAAAGGAGAAATGAAAAGAGTATAAACAAAACAGAAGTACAACAATAGAACAATAAAATAAACAACGAAAAAGAACACAACGAGAATATATCAATATGATAGCAAAGGATGGATGGGTGGAGAGTAGAGAACAGGGGGAAGGAAGGAGAAGGAATCTGCCATCAATCCAGCAGCCATCTCCAGCATATAACTTCCCCATTTGGACTGCAGGCCAACAAGCAGAGGAAAGATAGGAGGGTGGAGGCAAATCTTACCTTACGAAAGGTGTGTGTGTGTGTGTGTGTGTGTGTGTGTGTATTCCAAATATATTTATATAAATATTTTATATATATTCCAAACATACACAAAACTATCTATGATTTGGACCTATTTCTCCATATTAAGGAATCATCTTGGCTTCCATGGTTTGAAGCTTCTTACCCCTAGCCCCAACTATCCTTTCTTCCTATTAATAGTAAAACAGGAAAAAAGTTCACTGCTGATGTATGTACTGCATTCTTTTTATCCTTTCTTCAGACATTCCTTCCTTTAGCCTGCCTTCTGTTCCCTGATTCCTCAATCCCTTTCTTTATGTAATATAAAATGATGGATATATTTAGATTTACTGAATCCTTGCCAGTTACGGACTGCCATATATGAAAGCAGAATTTAATTTTTACATAAAGCAAAATCTTAATAATAATAGTAATAGAATAATAATAAACTTTACAATTGTCTGTTTCTGTGCTATGGTGAAGAAGAATGATGGAAAAATCACATATAGTATTATGAAAATACAACTTATTTAGCAATACTCTGTGGATTTGATTGGGATGGTGAGGAATTCAGACTTCTGAGCTAAAACTGATTAAGAAACCTAATTTTTAACTTAAAAATCTTCATCAGATAGACCAATTGTAGACTCATTAATGTTTGACAATTTCTGGGCTCTGAACTGGAGGTATTTACTGCTTGAGTTATTTTAATTGAAATCTGAGGGATTGAATCTGAATCTTTTGTAATCTAATACACCAAAATAACTAGTGGTATTCTCGTAAACATGTAGAGGAGGGAACTTCATAGATGGGGAACTATGATGCTCCAAACATTGCTGAACCTCTCCTCCAGTCTATCACAGCCAGAATGGCCATTGATTGTGTTAATGAGAACTGATTTTCTACCAGTATCTTGGAGGTGAAATGTTTCCACCCATGTTTATTCTCCAGGAGGCTGAACTATAACTACATTTCTGTTTCAACAGGTGGTGAAACAGCGGAACAAAGTAACTTGGAGACTTCAAGGGATCTTCAGACTGGAACAGTGGAAGGACCAGCTGTGCTATCCAGAAAACCATTTGGGAATGAAGTGCAAGGTTCCATCAAATGTCCAGGGCTGGCAGGACCAAAGCAACCCAAGATGATTCGTGGTGACATGAGAGGGTATAAGAATAATCCTGCCCAGCAAAATCCTCTAGGAACAAGATGGGGAGCGGAACCTAGAGAGAATGTTAACCGCAGTCCATTTTCAAACATGAGCTATGACTCCCAGGAAGCTGGGAGAATCTGCCCATCTTTCGTTGAAAGACCCCAGTTCTTAGGATGGCAGAAGCCCCATTACACACAAAGGCGTCAGCGTTTACCTGCAGGGGAGAAGCCCCATCACTGTGGATTATGCAGGAGAACTGTTGTGATCCCACCATTAAGACCTAACTCCCCTCATAATTCTGCATTGATTCCTTTCTTGAATTCTGCCTCTGAATTTTCTTCTGCCTTGACTCTGAATTCTGTAGGGCCACTGAATACCCAGGCTCTGCCAGGTAACCCAGCTTCTGCCCAGTCTCAAAAACCCCATGCCTGTGAGGAATGTGGCAAAAGATTCAGAATCCTAGCAAACTTGGAACGGCATCAGCAGCGTCATGCAGCAGAAAAACCACACCAGTGCAGAGACTGTGGCCGCCGTTTCCGCTGGGGTTGTCACTTAGAGCGCCATAGGCGATCACGCCGCTGTGTGGAATGTGGTGGAGGCCTTGCAACACCACCTCCACCCCCAACTCCACCTCCAGAACCTGACCGACCTTATTCCTGTGGGGAGTGTGGGAGGCGGTTTACACAGCGCTCAGCGCTCAGCAAACATAGGCGACTGCACTCAGGGGAGCGTCCCTATGGATGTATAGAGTGTGGGAAACGTTTCCTGCAACGCTCTGACCTCACTATTCACATCCGCTCACATTCTGGTGAGCAACCCTATGCTTGCACAGAGTGCGGACGGCGCTTTAGTGTCAGTTCAAATCTCAGCAAACACAGACGCATGCATCGGGGGGAGCGCCCTCATGCATGTTCTGTCTGCTCTAAACGCTTCCTGCAGCGCTCAGAACTTCTTATCCACCAGCGTGCTCACACTGGGGAACGCCCCTATCCATGCACAGCTTGTGGAAAGCGCTTTGCTCGCCGGGCTCATCTTAAACGCCACCAGCGAACCCATGGGGGAATGCCTGCCACAGCTACTGCATCTCGGCACCAGAATGCTCATCTTTTCATTGCTCCCTCACCAGATGCTATGTCCTTCGTCAACATCAACAGCATGAATCTTGCGTGACTGATGTCCTTAAATCATATGCTTAAGCCAATACAGTTGCCTGTGCTCTCTTTAGGATGTCTTCCCTTCTGCTCATAGAATTTTTGCTGGGAACAATCTTGAGTTCAGATTAGCCCATAGAAACAGCATCGTATTAGCCCCTTATCCTTGTCTGTTTGGAGGCTTGGCAGTTTTTTCTGCTTGGACCTCCTTAGAACTTCTGTGTTTGCCCTTATATTATAGGGTACGGAGCCAGTGAAATTATTCATGATCATCTGCTACATTCCCTTACTTGTTGATTTATCTTGGTAATACCATTAGGGTGTCAAGTTTGACAAGTCTGAAGAGGAAAGACACAATAATTTTACTGTCCAAAGTTAACTGCAGTTCATTGATGCAAGTAATTATGTCTTGCAAACCATAGTCATAACAGGCATTTATTACAGATTCACAGATGTAGTTCTTTTTTCTCTTGAAATGGTCCATTACATGATTCTCCTTGTCTTCCCTATTTTTGAAAATTTAAACAGTTCCCAACATTACCCCTGGCCACAAATCTCATTTTGAGCAGATTTGTTGTTTCTTTTGATGGGAAAGAAATCCAAATAGGCTTCTCTGAAGGACTTTGAACTCATTACCTGTAGACAAAAAATGACGTACTTCTTGTTGAATCTACAGTTTATATTAGAATAGACATATTGTAGCAGTCAGTCTATAACTGATTGAGTTGGATGCATTTTATGTCAAGGTGGTCTATGCTTCTACAGCTCCAAAGGATGATCAGGTCCAAGCATTGGATGATCCAGAACTCTCATGAGAGAACAGCAGTTAAGAATCAGGAAACAGAGTGGTGTTGTGATTTGGGCCTCACAGCTATTTGTGGAATTTGGAAAAAGATGAGCCATGCCTTCAAAAATGTTATTGGTGCTCTTTCACCATCTGCTCCTGAGAGAGCAAAGTTGGAACTGTCTGTTGTTGAGAATTCTGGACTGGAGCATTTTAGAATGGAGAGAGTCTGCTTGCTACATCTACTGGTGATTCAGCCAGCTTTGAAGAGAATGGTAAAGTTGCTGCTGTGTAAGGACAACAATATTTTGGTACACACTACTGTGACAGGCAACTCCCAGGTATATTATTATTTACCAGGCCAGTGTTATAGTTCCAGCTTGTATATTCTTAATATATGTAGGGCTGGCATTTTGTTTTCCATCATAAAGTTGGCCTCTAGGTTGCAGAAGCAATTAATATCTGATTTAAGACTATTGCAGTAGAATCTATATTATTTTTTTTAACCATGTATTTTCTTTTAAACCACATAGTTGAATTCCGGAACGTACACATATATGAACAAAATAGAATATTTTGCAACACACTTCCACAGAAGCTATTTTGCATCTTTCATATTATAACAAGTATTTTGGGTTGAGGTCATAGGCTCAAAATGGTTTGGAGTCTTCTCCATTCTATAACTGAACACCAGGAAAGTCATGAAGATATGAAACATAAAAATTTTGCATATGCAGTTTTTTATCCTAGTACGCATTACATCTTACCCAGTGCAGATCTGGTCTTTTCCAGGCCTGCATGTTGTTTGAAAGCATGCATGGGGAAATACAATGTTGGCATGACCTCACCATGTTGCATGTTGCAAGAAACAGTCAACAGGTTAGGCAGACTAGCTTGGATGAGTGCTGGAATTGGATTCCATTGCCTCAGTAGTGGGCTAATCTGATTTACAAATGGCAAATATACATGTCCCAGGATTATGATGCAAGATTGAATTTGGGTTGGTCACTGGGAGCAGAGATTATTCTTCGAAGCTTTCAGACTCATGCTAGCATCCATCTTCAAACATAGACAGACTTAAGACTGACTCTAGACTCTTTAGACTAATCTGATTTAGCAATAGCTATTTTGACAAACCTTTTTTAAAGATGAGTGATTGATTGCTACTTTATTCAGTTTATTAAGAATGACCAGAAAATGGTTGCTGATTAGGTAGCTGGGCATTACAAAGTCTTGGGGAAAGAATAGCATTTGGATATTGATAGAGAAATAGAGAGGAGGGAATTGTTAATAACTCTTTGGGTCTGTAATTTTTTAATCACTCCTAGTGGGTCACACTGTCAATGGATATTACCTTTCCTGGATATTTTTTGAAACATGTTAGAACACGTTTGATAGGTTTTACCTGTTGCAAGGCTGTTGAATCAGACATATTACTAAAACGGCTTTTATATTCAGCCGGGCAGTACTTGAAGAACTCTGATAAACAATTTAAATGTTCCAGATTTACATATCTTTTGATCTCTACACTACCGGTGATTAAGTAGACATTGGCTTGGACCTCCGTCATCTGAGCCTTTTCCCTTTCTCTCTTTTTGCATTAGGCATATCACAAAAATTGTTGGCTTAATAATCTTTGCCTTAGTAAATAAAAATTTATACTTGTCTATTTTAATTTTAAGAACTAGATAATATGGAACAAGAATTGGCTCCTCTACAAAATTTCTATATTACTAAAACTCTTTCTTATGACTTTTAACTGATCAAAGCATCATAGAGCAATTTTTTGAGCCCAGATATCTCAAATGGGTTAATTTACAGAATGTGTCCAAAGTATGAGATCCATCCCTTCTGTGGGAATTAAATTTGGGGAAGTTGTGCTTGATTGAGTACTGCTGGGTTATTGCGATTGTCATGGAATGTTGAAAAACGTTATTTTGGCATTTTTTGATGATCCCTGCCAGATTTCCACAAGGAAACTCAATGCAGAAGTCAGTAGGAAGTCAGAAGTTGTTCCTATTCCCGCTTCTTTTTTTGCCTACCCTTGTTTAGGTAAAGAAATATCTCTGAAATGATGACCCAAAGGGGCATGGTTGTCTAGAAACATACATACATACATACATACATACATACATACATACATACATACATACATACATACATACATACATACA